TTACAGATTATGAAGGCATACAATAGTATTTCAGTATTACAGACGGGAAATTAAAAATATTAATATAAATCCACTAGCTGAGTCAGCGACTTCGTGTGCTGCGTAGTTATTTTGGATATCAATTTTTTGTTTTTGCAAACCTCATGTTCAACTCTATAAATTTAAGCTGTTACCCACGATGCCGTCCCGTCGTTACCGCAAGTTAATCTTAAAAGATAGACATATACCGAAATTATATAGCCTATAGCCGATGAATGCTCTAACCAATACAAAAATAATTTTTCAATTCGAACCAGTAGTTCCTGAGATTAGCACGTTCAACAAACAAACAAACTTCAGCTTTATATATTAGTCTAGATTGCTTATTTGGTGGACCATTATACGCATAGCGTTAAGCACGTGAAGGGCTGGATTCGAATCCCGGTACGACACCCAACACTGGACACGTAACGATCTAATAATTGCTTGTAAATAAAATCGATCAGTGCTACAAACACGCTAAAATCTTCGCCCTATGTCATTTTCGCGAACTGTGATGTCTCAATATCAAATGTCTTGCTGTTTCTTAAAATTTTACTAATTAAACGAATACTGTCTGTAGTTTACGCGAGTAGTATACATTTAAATTTACGGTTTAAAACGTGATGTATATTAGGTAAACATATTTAACAAAAATTTAAAATAACGTTTGAAAACTTTATTATCTTTTACATGTTATTGCACATGAAGGCACTATACCCGGATATACCCTATATATTATTGCTCTACGCTGACGGTGCCGGTTCAAATCCTGCCCGAGTCGAAAATTTTTTCAATTTATTTTCGATTTTTAAATTATGTTGAAATAAGTTGAATTAATTAATATTGCGATTTAACCCGTTAAAGTTTTTATTTAAATAGTATTGAATATCAGAACTATTTCGTTTTTTAAGTTGGACTTAAATTTTTAAGTTGGGCGGTAGGAATATCGAAAATGGGCCTGGGTCATTCACCGACCATAGAGGAAAAAGCGGTGAATTTTAATGAAGTTTCGGTTACAGTCTGAGGGTTTACATCCAAAGACAATATAGGTCGACATCACATCTTGCCTTGAACCGCATAATTGTCAATCCTCTATCAAATGTCATGTAAAGTATTCAATCATCCGTATGTAATTCAAAATAATAATAATTCGTGTTTTAAACCGTTAAATGTATTTTATTTAAAAGTATTTATCACTAAGCTACAGGGGTGCTCGTCAAGCGTAAATTAAATGAAGTAAGTACTTTTGTTTACATATCTACAAAAAGGACCTTAAACATTTTTTATCGATTTTTTAATTATAAAAAAAATTCCTAATCATTTCTTAGTGTTAAACTTACCTTGTACATATGATGGTTTCCAATTTATTTTAAATATTTGCTATAGAATATTTTTGTATAATTATTATGTTTTATTGTAATAGTAGTAAAGTGTAAGTAAGTGTAAAGTGACAATAAAAATATAAAAAGTAATCACACGATTAAAGACGACAAATTACTCAGGTATTGTAATATTTTAAATACTTACATTACTTTACTTATGTTATTTGTTAAATGCTTTGTTTAAATACTTATTAAAGAAGTTATCTCAACATTAATCAATATTTTGAAACGTAATCCATAAAAACGCAATAATCCCAAAACCATTTTCAATAAAATAACACAACACTCATGACTCAAACTAAATGACAATGAAACTCTAATCAACTTATCACTTTGACGTTTGCGCTTTTCCCTCCAAAACTAGATCACAGACTATCTATCAAGGACCCATTCAAAACCCGAATCGCCACAGACTAAAAACCAGATACGCCACTCTAAATTCGACTAACCTTAATGACACTCGTGGCTGCGACGTGTTTAACTCGGGCGGGAGGTAGCTGACTTGGCGTCTCCGTGTGGACTGGCTGATGACACTTGGCCGCTCTTGACTTCACTCATGCGCACTGCCGACTTGACCGAGTTTACGTCTCAAGGTAACTAAACACGATTATGTTTTATCGAGAGCTGGTATAGCTTTTGTTGATCGACTGTTTGGGAATGAACACGAAACAAAATACGATCGTTGATGTTTCTGCCACACAACACGCCATCGGACCTTTGCCTATCTTTACACGGAAGTAGTAAATATTTTTACTATAGTTCTCTCTTTTCCGTCTTTTTATTTAATTAACAAAGATCTGTTTTTATTTTTATTAAAAATTAATTGTTGTTACGATTAAGGTAGTGGTGGAGCCCAATCACTTTTATTCTGAAACTATAATTAATTGTAATTCAGATATGCTGTTGCCTTAAAAAATATTATTTGAATATCACTTATACAGTATATCTATACTTCTATACTAATAAATCAAGCAGAAAAGTTTGTTTGCTTGAACGCGCTATTCTCACGAACTATTGGTTCGAATTGAAAAATTATTTTTGTGTTGATTAGAGCGTGTATCGAAGGAAGGCTACATGCTATAAAACATCCCACTGGGCCTAATAGGAGTGAAGAATCAGCGGAAAGTGTGAAAAAAAACGGTAAAAATTATTTATGTCGTGGGCTTTCGCTGCGTACGCAACGAAAACGGTTAAACGGTAAAAAGAAATCCTCTTTAAATGATCTTGAAAAAGCGACAATATATGTCTATCTTTTAAGATTAACTTGCAAGAACGACGGGACGCCGAGGAATCTTGGGTAAAAGCTTATAGAGTTGAACAGGAGGTTTGCAAAAACAAACTTGATGCCCAAAATATCTATTCTACGCAGACGAAGTCGCTGACTCGGCTAGTTAGTTAAATAAATAAATATGTGATACTTACTACTTAACAATGCAAACAATATTGAGAGATGCATAGAGATAAAACTTCCTATTGGATAGAGTGCATTTGATGTCACAGGCGGGATTTGAACCCACGACCTCTGTGCTTTTCCTCTGTCTCTTATTTCCCATACTATGACACAAATAAGACTAATCTATACGTACCAGCTGAATTCATAAATACCTATTAATAACCAATGCTGTAATATTTCTTATCTATGGTAACGTGGTAACCTTACCATACCTTAGTCTTAATAGCCTTCTGGGATACAGGATTATATACTGTGCGTATATATAATTATATTATAAAGACGTTGCCCTCTTTTCTACCAGGAAGTGCTCTGACAAAAACATTATTTCTTTGTATATCAATACATTTTTTAGAAGGATTGAAATGCTAAATATGTTTTACCCACATTAAATGTGTTTTATTCTTCTTTAATAATAAAAAAATATATTTTAATGTAAAATCGTATGTGTATAACAACATTTTTTTTTTTTAAGAAACGTATACTTTTCATCTGTTAACGCCAATTTAAAGAATTAAATATTGTTATTATAATTGATAATTAAGATAATTTGAAATTAGATACGACTTAATTTTATTATTGTATTAAATATTATGTATATATGTTCATCTATAGTAATATATTCAGCTGAAGAGTTTGTCTGTTTGTTTGAACGCGCTAATCTCAGTAACTACGGGTTTGAGTTGAAAAATTATTTCGTATTGGTTAGAGCATTCATCGGCTATAGGCTATATAATATCGCCCTGTGATTAATACAAGCGAAGATACAGCGAGAAATGTGAAAAAAATTGGGAAAATTATTCATTATTACGTTTCGAGGCGTTCCGCTGCAAAAACGGTTCAAGATACCCGAAAAATTTGTATGAAAGAATGATTCTTCTTCATATTACAAAAAAAAGTCCCTGCCGCTATATGTCTTGCAAGAACGACGGAAAGGGATGCGATCGACGCCTTGGGTAACAGTAAGTAAAGTTTATAAAGATGAAGGGGTTTGCAAAAACGAAATTACGATGCTCGCGGACGAAGTCGCTGACACAGCTAGTAGTTTTATAAAGCTAAAAAGTTTATGTGTTTGAACGCGTTTGTCAGGATATATGTACTATTATTAGTCTACCTACTGGATCGAATTGAAATAATATATTTTGTAGTTGGTTTCAACGTTTATCGAAGAAAGCTTTAGACTATAAACCGCTCTACGCAGGAGCGAAGAAATGTTGATAAAACGAGGATACAGTATACAATTTAAATAAAAACTAACGGTTTAAAACGATATATTAGTTAAACATTTGGAAATGTTTTTTAACTTCGGGGACGTTTGGATCTTTGCAGAGCTAGTTCCCCTACCACGGCTGCTCAAAATCGAACCGTCATCCGTTTTAAACCGTTTAAGTGTGTAATTAAAATATTATTCAATTATATAAATTTTAAATTGTAAATAATAGGAATATTATTTATCTTCGAGTTTCAGTATCCTAAAATATGTATAAAATAATAAAAAAAATTCCTTCAAGTTATAGTGGACATTTTTTTAGATTATTGAAGAAGATCTGTTAAGATTAACTCAAAAGATCAGATTTCAGACAGAAGAATCAAATTTGATCGAAATATGATGAAAAAGACTTCTTTAGTGACAGGGCAGTGATATGCATTGCTCCTTAGGTCATTAAATTCAAAAAAATGTATTAGTTTGTAAGACATGTTGAAAAAAGCCAGACTGAATTTCTTGGGTGTTCTCTTGGTTATGTTGCTCTTTTGAACACTCTGTAGAATCACGACGAACAGACAGACAAACATGTTATTTAATATTTTTTGGACGAATCTAAATAATTTTTATAATTTTACAGAGAATAAAGTATATATATTTTTTTAATTTGATCAATAGAATGTTTGCCGGGTCAGTAGAGACAGTCTTGCAATTATATATTTAATTGAACTTATCATAATTAATACAACAATATGAATTATTAACATACTATAGCATAGCGGATTAGATCGATGTAAACGAGTAGCGTGAAGCGATTGTTCTACAGACGCCAGGCGGGCGCGGCGAGCGGTCACCCCGCCCCGCTCCCCGCGGCACGCTCGCACTCAGTCCAAAGCCGCGCGTCGCTTACGTGTGTCGCTCCCGCTAATTCGTCCGCTCCGCTATGAAAGGCAAAGGGAAAGGTGCGAAGTTGAAAAACATGGACAAGCTTATCGCGGCGGTACAGGCCAGGGAGTGTCTCTGGGACCGCACTTATAGAGGGCACAGGAACCGCTTCAAGCTGGAGAGATATTGGAACGAGGTGGCCGCGGAAGTCGGCACGACTAGTAAGTTAATACTTGAGTTAACGAGCGAGTTTTCGTGTTTATGTTGTGCGTCGTACGCCACTCGCGACACGCCAGACGCGGTTCGTTTTGTTTTCGTCGTAGTTCTCAGTGTTTACGATAGATGGCGCTGAAGTATATTTCTTTTAATGGAATATTTTTTCGGCAACCTTTTTTTATTTTTGTATGTTTTATTTTATTTAACTTTAGTGTTGTATAAATTAAAATGTAGCGAAAAATATTATTTTGGATTATTAGTAGATGTTCAGTATCTAAAATAACTATTATTTTAAAAGCATGTGATCTTTATGTCAAATACATAATGATTTCGTTATTTTCAGGTTTAAACTGCAGAAAGAAATGGAAGAATTTAAAAGATCAATGCCGGAAGGAAATAAAGAAAAATCCGCATGCGTCCGACTGGCCACACTTTCCGAAGCTCAAGTTTATCCACAACCAGTTCACGTTCGACGAAGAGGAAGAAGAAGATACCGCCGGAAGAAGTCTACAACTCCTTAGACGAATCCATTAAAAGACCAAAACTGGGTTATACAATGCGTAAAAAGTTACTTATGAATAAAAGGAGAACAATAGATGTAGACATGAATAAGTTGATAGACTTAGTTAGGATAAGGGAAATTATATGGAACAGACAGCTCAAAGGACATCACAATTGGTACAAATTGGACGAGGCGTGGAAGGAAATCGCTGTTGAGTTGGGAGTTACACGTGTGTTCTAACTTATTATTTTATCCAATCGCACACTGATAAAAAAAACACTTTTGACGGTTTAGAATGCGAAATATATTATTAAACTGATTTTATCTTAACGAGGGAGTCACTTCCGACCACGGGTCCTGCAAAGCATCTGAAACATCGGACCGAAAATTTAACTAAAATTAAAATATTAAATACTGTTTATAGTTTACGCGAGTAGTACACTTTTAAATAAAACACTTTAACGGTTTGAAACGCGATATATTAGTTAAACTTATTTGGAAATGATTTTTAACTTCAGCCTGACGTTTCGGATGCTTTGCAACAGCCGTGGTCACGTCTCCTCGTCTCGTTTATTTATTTATTTTATTTATTATTGCTTTATTATTTATGAAACACACCACAGAAAATACATATAATTGAGGAAAAATTTTACATGCTAACATATTTCGCGGTTTTAAACCAATAACAATGATTCACTAAAACAGATTTGACATGAAACAATATGCATGCAGTAAACCAATAAAGTTTTGTGTTTCAGCACACCGCTGTTGTTTCTTTAGGTCAATATCAAGACAATATAATAACTATTATTTGTATATTTAATTTTAGTATTAACTTTCAGGCGACGAAGCTAGACTCAAATGGAAATACCTCCGCGACCAAGCAAGAAAAGAGATGCGGAAAGAAGAATCAGATTGGGAGCTACTGCCGAAACTACAGTTCTTAGCCAACCAGTTCTTTGACAACGAAGGCAACGACCTGGGAGATGACACGTACAGCCAGGACTTCGACGCTCCAGAACAAAGCAGTAGCTATTACACAAATGTAGAGGAAGAGCCAGCGGCGGCAGATGAACCAGAAGTTATAGATGAACCACCGATTAAAGATGATGAATTCGACGAGTTCGATATGAAACCTATCATTATGGAGACAGAGTTCTACGATGATGATGAAGGGATCCAGAAATGCGCGTCTACTGAAGGGGAGGTGACGAAAGATGAAGATATAGGCTTCTTTAACAGCTTACTGCCACATGTTAAAAAGCTCGGACCAGCTAAGAAGCTAATGCTTCGAATGAAAATACAGGAGTTAGTTTACAATACTGTGTATAATACATAGATTTTGCATGATGGCTTATCCGTTGTAGGTTTAATTTAGGCTTGTAAATATTTTAGGATTAGTGCTGTCCTAAGGTTGTTTTTTATCCGCAACCGAAGCCGACTTTAGACTGAAACTAGACTCAAAGTTGGAGTGCGTGCGTGTATGTTAAAGTTGTCTACATTTATTTATGTCATAAAAATTGATTTATTAACGGAATGTCAGCCACAATTAGACACTCGTCTCGCTTTTATTTGAAAAATAAATGTATATAATAATATAGATATTAGCTTTTAAGAAACTGGCCAAACTTCAATCAAAATGTGTTTCTTTTAGCCGAAGGTTTGTTCGGCGAGCTGACTTAATGATCACAAATATGTAATAATTAGGTATATAAATATATATATAAGCTACAGATTACGCACAAGGCCTATATACACTCCTAAGTATTTATAAGTACATAACATCACGTAAACATGAAATTGGATAGATTTCGTTAGATTAGGCATTCACAATATTTTTTTAGGTACCTTTTTGTATATTAAGTTTTTGGTTGTATTATTTTTGTCCAAGATGTGATTTTGAGAGCCTGCCAAGTATTATTTAAAAATCATTCATACTGTGCTGGGTCAATAAAAACTGCATAATAATTAAACACACTGTAATAAAAAAATATATTTACTACACTTTTTTATTCATTACAACGACGCCCTTGAATCTTTATTATTTTCACACGTGGATGACACATGTTAGCTTAGCTAGTTTTCGCAGTGCACCCAACGGAAATGCTCAAACATTTATATTTTTGGGCTTTTTTTTCTACATTTCCTACTGTTTCTTCACTAGCATTAATCGGAACGCGATGTTTTATAACCAAAAGCCTTCCTCGGTAAATACTCTAAAAAACACAAACATAATGTTTTGATTCAGTAGTTCCTGAGATTAGCGCGTTCTGATAAACAAAATCTTCAGCTTTATAAGTCAAGTATACATTGACATTGAAAATATTTGTGAAACGGGATCCTTAGATCAAATGTAACAACAGCATTCTTGTATCCTTTTGGTCGAGAAGATCCCGACTTTTTATTTTTATGTCCACCGATTTTTTTTAAATAAATATAAGGACTACTTTTCATTCTCACCTTGAATATATCGCCAATAAAGTATAGACAATAAGGTAATCTTAATTTTGACAAATGACAGTCGTATAAATCTTTTTTATTACGACATCAAAGCTGTCGGTCGTTCCTCAATTAGAAACCGAATAACGTTAGGGTTGTCAAAAAAATATTTAACACACAATATTGTTGGGACTAAGGTTGAAGACTTCAACATTTTTCACCCGCATTATATCAATTAAAAATCCATTTTAGATTGAAATTACATTGCACCAAAGGTATCGTTAGGTTAAAAAACTCGACGATGACGTATAGGATACGGCAGCACAATTGGTTAGAGCAACAGCGCGGAACGCTAGGGATGCAGGTTCAAGTCAAGCCCGAGTCGTAATTCTTTCAATTTAAAATCTAATTTTATTTTATATAGTTCCATCATGTTAACATGTGAAAAATATTATATTTTTCAAAACTATAAAATATAAAAAGGATCATTTATAATATCACTCCTTATTGCTCCTCCCATAGACACATACAATAGCAAAATACATAAAGAATGGGAAGGCCATCAAATTAAAATGCAGTAGAATTAAAAGCTACGTGAAACAACCCTATTGTGTTCAAACAATAACCGCGTGTATGATTCAAAACAATCAATATTGATGTAATGTTTCATGTACTAAAAACGTCTTATTTATGTCAGTGAATTGGGGCACATTTCCGTCACTTTTATAACCTGCAAATTAATTATTGGAAATATGAAAAACTGAAATACAGCTTCCTTAAAATCGAATGAAAACACAAATAAAACACTTTTAACAGTATAAAACGCGAAATGTAAGATTTACATTGGTTAACTACCCGTCAGTCCTTCCGTGACCAAACCTACTGAAGGACATCTGAAACGTCGGGAAGTAGATGATTGTAATTAAGTTAGCTAATACCTTTAGATTTAGCTCGTGACAGTTATTACCCAAAAAAAAATGCCGAGTGTTGGGAGAGAAGAAGGTCTTCACTTCAAATCCCAGGTCGGGCAAAAAGTTACTTCCGTATTCTGAATCTACAAGTCGCACGCTTAGTATTAGAGTGACCTAATTCAAAAATTTTAGTAAAATTAGATAAATGCACTGACATTACTATTATAACGCCATCATCAGTTTTATACGATTTGCCAAAAAAGTGTTTTTTTTTTATTAGATCACTGTAATACTAAGCGTGCGAAGTGTAACAAACGAATTTTGTTTACACTTGTAGAACTCGAAGTTTTGGAGTAGGTGATCGCAGATAATGTTAACCAATAATTTAGTAGCGGTATTGTTGAAGGCAGTCAAACCGCAAAAGTAGCGCTTAAACCCTTTCTCCCATATTAGAAGTATTAGAACGAATCAAAGAACTATAGGTATATATTTTGAGACGCGCAATGATATTTACTTCATATAATTAAAAACACAAACAAAGTAACTAATAGCTTTCCTATAAAACAGACAGATATCTGCTAACCGATCAGCTATGCAATCGGCAATAAAACCTGCTCAATTAGGGCCATACTAAAACCGGGCGTTATTATTTATGCGCGTGCGCCACCATTCATACGTTTGATTGTTTTACATCCACGCTCTTGGCCAAGATTCAAAGCTGAATTGCAAATAAGGCGCTTAAACTTTCGTGTGCCATCGTCGTTTAAAAGATTATATAGATAAATAATTAATGTAATTGTTAAAAATTCAGTCAGTTTTGCAAGAATCCAGCTAGTTTCACCAAATAGCAAATACGAACAGATGGCGCTAGCATAGTTTTTACTTTGAAATTAGAAACGCCCTCCATCTTCACGACTGCAGCTGCAAAACATCCGAAATGGGCCAAAAAACCTGAAAATAAGTTAACCTTAAGCCTTTCGCCTTTTAAACCGTTAAAACTATTAATTTGAATGAATTCTACTTGCGTTATTTACTAACAAAGAAAATTGAATTACGTAACGTGTACGATGCTAGTTTGTCTAGATCTATATTTCAACATGTAGTCAATTGAGGAATAGATTCTCCTGCCTAAATAACCTATACGTACGTCTTTTGTTAATTTTCATAGACTTCAAAAAGAAAATTGGTAAAACGTGATGCCTAGCATTGCGTTAAGCGCGAGGGGTCCTAAGTTCGAATCCCGGGGAAACAGTAAATTGTTTCGGTCGGGCAGGGCACAGAAATGTGTTCGCCCTATGCCCCACAAGGGGAAACGGGATTTCACACATACTAAGGAAATTGAATTTTAGTTTTTTTATTTGGCGTTTTACGCTTAAATTGTTTAAAATACATGAAACAACACGTTTGCACTTTAGTTAAAAGCAACGTTATTTACTCATATCGTCTGTTAGTGAATTGGTTTACTTAAAATTAGCCTCGAGCTGTTCGCACGCGCAATTATAAGATCGTGATGACAAGATCGCGAGATATTACTGTTTTCGTTTAATATTGCGAGATTTAAAGAAGTCGAAAGTAATGCTCTAGAGACAAGAGCTTCTTTTATGATAAGAGGAGAGATAAGAATGGGATTAATTTGATTAAATGCAACATCTAAGCAAGATGTGTTGCCGACACATTTCGGACACTATAGACGCACGCGTTTACATTTTACAGCTTTTCCATCTGCGGTGTCCTGAACCATTTGGTATTTTTTTTAATTCGATTCCCAACATTTTGATTCTAAGGCTATTAAAAAACATAACTTCGTTTCTTCGCGTGCCTTCGGTTACCTATGCTTTAATATATCAAAGTAATAAGTTAATTGATATAATGAGTTACTATCTTTTAATTATAACATCATGTTATAACGCTAAAGAATTTAAATAAAACACTTTAACGGTTTAAAACGCAATATATTAGTAACTAATTTTAAATAAAACACTTTAACGGTTTAAAACGCGATATATTAGTAATATATCGCGTTTTAAACCGTTAAAGTATTTAATTTAAATGTGTACTACTCCCGTAAACTATAGACAGTAGCTAAAGAATTTGTGTATTTGTTTGAACGCGGTAATTTCAAAAATTTAAAATGATGTTTGTAATGTTTGGACCATTTATCAAGGAAGGCTAGAAGACATAACTGCCGCCAATGGTAGCAAAGTAACAGAGGAAAATGTGGAAAAAAAGGGCTGCGAAACCGGCTGAATAAACCAAAAATTAAATAAAAGAAAGAATTTTGCTTCAAACAATCTAAAGAAATGTCCGCGATATGTCAATCTTTAAAGATTAACTCGCAAGAACGCCAGACAGCGGATAATTTCGTGGGTAACAGCTATATTTTATAAAGGAAGGGATTTGCAAAAAAAAAAACTTATGGCCTAACTATGCCGTGCGGACAAAGTCGTGGGTACGCCTAGTATATAACCATTTCGTATATTAATAGTGCTGATTATAAATTAATTGGAATATAAGCTATAAATAAATGTCTGTCTACAACGCCTGGATACCATTCTATTAGTGACAATGCCCTTTTACACATAACGAACAGCTATTTCTGACGAGAACAGCTTTCGACCACATCTAGGGCAAATTCTGGTTCCGTGCGATTTTATTGTTTTATGAAGCTATTGTTTTTATCAATATTTTAAACACTAAAGTCGCATAATGTGAGTTCATTAAGTGTGTTGAGAAATATGATAGAAGCTATTTAAAAATTACCCAGAAATACCTTAGTTCCATCAAGAGAAGTAATTCACTTTAAAAAAAAGTTTTTTTTTTTTAATTTAACATAAATAAGTATATCAGCTTACATCCAACCAAATCTACGACAAATTAAACTTTGATACACTGTTGGCATGGGTTTGATTTCAGTCAGTGACTTCGTTTTTAATCATAAATTAAAGCCATCATAGAACATGTAAAAATGATAAATTTGTAAATGTATGTA